GGGTTGAATTTTTTTAGCGCATATTTGTTTCAAGAGTGTCAGGAAAAATTTTCAAGTGCAATTAATGAAGTTAACATTGATTTACTGTCAAAAAAGTCGCATTTTTTCACAAAAAACGCGCGCGCGCACGCACTTTTGCTCAGATTCCTTCAAAACCAAAAAATGCACGTAATATACATAATTCTGAGTTTGCATGCAAAAAATCAGCCTCCTACGACAATTCTAAGTTATGTTTAAACACTGTTTAAATTTTCCGGAGAGTAATACGTTTTGTGGCCCCCCCCCTTTGTCAAAATAAGATCCTAAAAAAGCGAACTTCTGAGAAAAAATATGATTTTCAAAATGGGATTGGATGGTGGGAGATTTTAAAGAAAACATACACCCCTGTACAATTTAGTGTAAAAGTATACCACTAGTAAACCAGCAGGGTTAAATAGAAACAATATCTTCAGACGAACAATGACCATGGCTAAAATAGATTCACAGCAATTCAGGTAATTTATCCCCCCCCCCCAAAAAAAAAAATAAATTTGAGAAACTAGGCTTTCAGGGCGCTTCGCGTCCATTTACTAATTCAGCAATTTAAAGCAATATTAAATACAGTTTGCAGATTTAATCATATTTTTTTAAGGATTTTCTAAATTTTTGGAATTCGGAATTTTTTGAAGGCAAACTTTTGGAATTGTGATAATCAATAAACCTTCCCTGGGGTCATGTGAGGTCCAATTAAAATTTAGGGTCCGGTCGGTTGAGCCGTTTTGATGTTATCTGTTACAAACAAACAGAACAGAGAAGCATAGTATATTTAGAGAAAAAAATAATACGTCCTGTTTTGTCAATTTTTGGCAATTTTAGTATTAATCATTTTTTCTTCTAAATCGTCAAAGTGAACGCCTTCTCACTTGGTCGCTTATTCCGTGAATTTTGTTATGCTCGGTCCCGCATGGCTTTCCATACTTAACTCCTCAAAGCTGGTCCTTACAAAAATAATACCATCAAAAAGCACATAAGTCATTATGTAAAGTACTGAATCAGAAATATAATTATCAAAAACTGACGATATTCCTAAAAACTGATCATATTCCTAAAAACGAAAAAAAATATTATTCATAAATCTCGTTTTTTAGGGAATTGTTGAGTCCAGAATTGAACCTTCTCTCCGATGTATTCAGTAAAAATGGTCATGAGCTGAGAATAGCTGGTGGAGCTGACAGCTTATCTTAAAATAATTATAATAAAATATCAAATACTAGACTTCCATCTTCTATTATAACTTTTAAATGTTACTGTTTCTGCTTCAATTTTTCTTTTTAAATTATCAAACAATAACAAATTTACGTGAATTTCTTCATAGAAGCAATCATACAAACAAAGTATATATATATAAAATTTTATTTGTAAAAATTCTAAAAACGGCCATTCTCAAACGAGATGAAATATTCTTTATGTATTCTTTAACGCTCATATAATCGAGTTTAAGAATTCCATCATGTAACCTTATACGATTAATATTATTCTACTTTAATTGTGTGAAAATTACATTTATTAAAAAATGACAGATTAATTCGTTGAATCAATACAAATCGTAATTTGAAATTAGTAGTCATCTGGAAACTGTAGAATGGAAGTAGGACAGCCCTAAAAGTCTGATTTGATTTGATTTTGTGAGGTTCTTTGAGCAATGTTTGTCACCTCAAACAATTAAAATAATTTTTTTTTATCTTGTGAAAGACCTTATCAAGTACGAGAATTGACATTAAACAGCGTTACCAATAAGTTTTTATATATTTCATCTTTGAATTTTTTGCTATTTGTTTGGTCTTAAAAGTATTGTACTCGACATACTGTTGAGAGGGACTAGCCTCCCAGAATGTACCATAGATTACAAGAAAGTAAAATTATCTATTTCTTAAAAATATTAATCAAGATTACAGAAACAAACAGCATTCACTGTATTTACTCTAGAATGTTTTTAGGGTTCAAAGGTAAATTAATTTATATGCTGCCTAAGTTCATGAAAAATTACCTAAAATTCATTTGTTAAGATTGTTGAGTGTATTCGTAATTTCAAGCAAAACTTTTTTATTTGAAATTATATTTCCTTTTCTTGCCAATAAATTAGGCTCGGTATTGTATGCAAGATCTGGGAGGTTCTTGTCCGCCGGGGTGTCCCTCCCTCGCGTAGATCTGGGAGGTTCTTGTCCGCCGAGGTGTCCCTCCCTCGCTTTCAACAATCAAGCACTTTCGATAACAACTTATAAGAATATTGGAATCTATATTTATAAAGTTGGGACTCATAACTGCTCAGGAACTCAGAATAACAACGGGAATGTTCTTAGCTTGATTTTGAGATTCGAAGTTGAATAGGTCCATTTTTATAAGGAAAATTATATATCTAATTTAGGGATTTATTAATGGGAATACCACCAGCTGATGTAGACTTTGCCACTACTGCTACTCCAGAACAAATGAAGGAACAATTATACTTAATATTTAGATTATTTGTAACTACTGAATGGCATTGTTTTTAAACATTAAAAGTTTTCAGCCTTTTCCAAAGCTTCACAAGAATCTGGGATGCTTACAAATTCAATTTTTTAATTGTATACAAGACAGTTTGCTTTTATCACACAAAGCAAAAGTTTTACTCTGAGTAAAGATATGGACCAAAACGATTTTTCAAATTTACTAATTACTAATTATTATTATATTGAATATTAATATCTTCAATCAGCGTAAAAGTGTGTTTGTGTGCAATAAAAGCAAAATTGTCTATCCTGCAGTTTTGAAAAAGGATTTGCATCTCAGGTTCTTGTGCAGCCTTGATAAAGCCTAAGCACTTTGAATGTTTAAAAACGGGTCTCAAAACGATGCCCGCCGTCAGTTATTTGCAACAATTTTTAATACTCATTGATGCTGATCCTGTGTCCGAATTTAATGAATTTAATCCGCGTCTCCGCCAAAAACCGGTTTCAATTAAGCGCCGGCTTAAATCTTGAAACATTGAATACAATTTTAAGTGAAACCAACCATATTTGAGCGGTGGCTTAAAAGCTTTGTACGAAGATTGAATTAGATATTTATCGGGCATTGCCATCTTTGCATATAGGGGCACTTGAAAATACGCTTACAGTCACTTCAAATCATAAAGAAACTCAAGCTTTCATTAAAAAAAATGCGATTTTTTTTGTCTGTTCGTCTATTATTATCTCAGCTTTTTATCACTAAGTATAATATTTTGTAGAATATATTTACAGCAGAAAATATAAGAATGATAAATGCGTTAGGTAATTCAATTCTTTAAATCTAACTCTCCCCCAGTTAAAATAAACCTTTTTGTTAAAAAATCATCCTACTCTCTCAAAAACAGTTACAGTTTTGTAAATAAACCTGTAAACATAAAATAAAATATTTTTATTGCAGGGGAGAAGCATGGGACAATAACTGCAAGAATTAATGACAAAATTAATTTTGAAGTAACAACTTTAAGAATTGATAAGGTATACTTATTAATATAGAAGGATATAAAAGGATCTTGCACATGCTGGAAAAGAAAAAAAAATTTTTTTTAAGTGGAAAGAAAAAAAATGCCACAATTAAAGGTTGTAAAAAAATATCAACGAGGTTTTTTTCCTTCAAAAAGGAAGATAAGTCGCGTGGTGTAACTATTACAGAAGAAGTTAATATTTATTATTTATTTTGACGCAAGGTTGTCCTGATGCAAACATGAATATAGAATTATTGGAGGGACATTAGTTGAATATTTGAGGGATATTTGTTGAATATTTGAGGGATATTTGTTGAATATTTGAGGGATATTTGTTGAATATTTGAGGGATATTTGTTGAATATTTGAGGGATTGTTGAATATTTGAGGGATTGTTGAATATTTGAGGAACATTTGTAAAATATTTTAGGGATATTTGCTGGATATTTGAGGGATTTCGAATATTTGAGGAACATTTTTGAATATTTGAGGGACACTTGTTGAATATTTGAGGGATATTTGCTGGATATTTGAGGAACATTTGTTGAATATTTGAGGGACACTTGATTAATATTTGAGGGATATTTGTTGAAAATTTGACGGATTGTTGAATATTTTAGGGATTGTTGAATATTTGAGGGACACTTGATGAATATTTGAGGGATATTTGTTGAATATTTGACGGATTGTTAAATATTTGAGGGATTGTTGAATATTTGAGGGACATTTGTTGAATACTTGTGAAACACTTGTGGAATATTTGAGGGACACTTGATGAATATTTGAGGGATATTTGTTGAATATTTGACGGATTGTTGAATATTTGACGGATTGTTGAATATTTGAGGGACACTTGATGAATATTTGAGTGATATTTGTTGAATATTTGACGGATTGTTAAATATTTGAGGGATTGTTGAATATTTGAGGGACACTTGATGAATATTTGAGGGATATTTGTTGAATATTTGACGGAATGTTGAATATTTGAGGGATTGTTGAATATTTGAGGGACACTTGATGAATATTTGAGGGATATTTGTTGAATATTTGAGGGATATTTGTTGAATATTTGACGGATTGTTGAATATTTGAGGGATTGTTGAATATTTGAGGGATTGTTGAATATTTAAGGGACACTTGATGAATATTTGAGGGATATTTGTTGAATATTTGAGGGATATTTGTTGAATATTTGAGGGACACTTGATGAATACTTGTGAAACACTTGTGGAATATTTGAGGGACATTTTTTGAATATTTGAGGGACACTTAAATATTTTTGGGATAATTTTGTTGAATATTTGAGGGATTGTTGATTATTTGAGGGACATTTTTGAATATTTGAGGGACATTTTTGAATATTTGAGGGACACTTGTTGAATATTTTAGGGATATTTGTTGAATATTTGTTAGACATATGTTGAATATTTGTTAGATATATGTTGAATATTTGTTAGATATATGTTGAATATTTGTTAGATATGTAATGTTTAGGTGACAGATGGTAGAAGAGCGGAGGTAGAATTCACTAAGGATTGGGAACTAGATGCAAACAGGTCTATCTATTTAACTATCTAATCTATGACTATCTGTCTGTCTGTCTGTCTATCTATCTATCTATCTATTTCTCTATCTAATTATCTATTTATCTTTTTATCTATCTATCTATCTATCTATTTTTCTATCTACCTATCTACTGTTCTATCAATCTATCCATCTATCTATCTTTCCATCTATCTATCTCTATCAATCTATCTATCTATCGCGTGGGTTCATCTAAAGATTTTGGGGTAGAAATAAAGGGGGACAATTTTCAAATACATAACGGTCTTATTTCTCCCTTGTTTTCAATAAATTTATTTTTATTACAGCTTTAAATCTAGCTCTAAGTAGTATATTAAAAAGAATATTTTCAGGAGTAGATTGAAGGCTATGAAGGGGGAGATAAAGTAGTATTTATAAACGTTAGAATGGAGGTTTAGAATATTAGCATTAAATCAATTCCAATATAAATGCGACGCGTATTGTTACTTATTCTGTCTCGATCCCATCAATCACTGCTCTCTCTTCAATAAGAAAAGTAAAATCTACCTGTTTTTAGGGGGGGGGGGTGAATATTGAATGCAACAAGGGAATAAATTCCTCTTTTTAAATTATGATTTGATTTGATTAAAAAAAATGTTAACAAATAATTTTTAGACGAGACTTGACAATAAACTCTATGTTTCTGGGATTGGATGGGACTGTTTACGATTATTTTGATGGACAAACAGATCTCAAGGTGGTTTTTTTAACCCTTATCCCCTGGAGAAAAAAAATTGAAAAAAAATGTTTAAAAAATATTTGGAAGAAAAAATTCAAATTTTTTTAGCCTTTAACACCCCCCCGGCCACCAATGAATGTCCACAACAAATTAACATATAGATTTAGTTTCTATTTCATTTTAATGCAGGTAGTGTTTTTTTTAACTTACAAAATTTAAGATTTCAAAACTGTAATCTATTAAATTTATGTTTTATTTAACTATATAACGCGTTAGTGTAAAGATCGTTATTGTTTCGTTTTATCCATATATTTTCTGTCGTGGTCAATGGTCATAGTTAATTTGGCAGTGTGTAAGAAAAACTGTGTTGAAAACATCTATGCTAAATCTAATCCTGAGAGAACCAATAATTAAACAACTGAATGCACATCACTAAATGCTTAGCTCCAGAATCAGATCTTCTAGCAGATTTTTCGCATTTCAGCATAATTTGATTCTTAATTTTTCTTATTTTAAAAATTTATTCTTGATTTTTATTCGATTTCATAGAAGTGCTAATACAATTATCAACCAAACGGACTTAACAAAACCCTCTGTAACTTTGAATTGGTCAAGAACCGTATGGTTCGTTTATCATAAATCAGTTGATAAACTTATCTTCAATTTTGATTTTTAGAATCGACGAGTTAGATTTGTCGGGGATCCGGTTCAGAGAATACAAGAGGATTATTTAAGAATACTCCGTTACTTCAGGTCAGGAGTACATTTTTTTCTCCACCCCCTCTTTGAAAATAGTTTAATCCTCTCCCATCTTTGGAAATTATATTTCTCCTTACCTGAAAAATCATTTGTTCCCCAGTTACCTTCTTGTAAATCATTTTCTTTCCCCCCCCCTTTAAAGTTTAAAAATTCTAAAGAAAATGATACATATACAATTTCTAGATTTTATGGTCGTATTTCTGAATCACCTGAAAACCACGAAGAGGTGACGTTAAATGCAATCAGAGAAAATGTTAAAGGTGATAAGCTTGAAAATTCTTTGCTAAACAGATAATTTAGTAGTAGTGCACAATAGTCTTTATTTTGTAAGGTTCTTTGTGACTAAAAGGTTTACATTCATTTAATGAAAGACGATCATTTGCGTCTAAACACCAAAAACTTAATCTGAGGCCGTTTTTTTCCAACGAACATGTGACCAAGGTCTGTCCTAAAGACGTACTTTGGGGGATGATAGTTTGGCCGCCAGATGTCTCAAGATTCTTATCTGATAGCTAAGATAGATAATTCGGACGCACACAGACGAAGACGTCGTCCAGTTTAAAAAGAATACACTCCGAAGGGATAAGTCGTCTATCTACCTGAGGCCGGGAAAATGTTACATTTTCCTTTATAAGTTACATATCTCTTACTATTCCGGGTTAGCCGGCAAATGCAACAAACATGTTGCAATATACATATTTCGACGCTATGATTTAGAAAGTTGAATCTTGTCATAATTTGTTAATTGGTTAATTGTTATTGTTATTGATTTTGTTATTTTTTGTTTGTTTGTGTCATTGTTATTGTTACTAATAGTATGATTATTAATATTATTAATATTATTTTTATTATTTATTAATAATAATTATCTAGGAATGGGAATTATCTCTGGGGAAAGGATCTGGAGTGAATGGAAGAAGATATTATCTGGGAGATATGCTGGTCAGCTTACAGCTAAAATGATTGAGTTAGGACTAGCACCATACATAGGTAGTAAATTGCCCCCTGTTAATTCCTTGTACTTTCTTCTTCATTTTCGAAGGAGATTTTTATTTCTGAAAGTTTTCAAAGACTTTTTAGATTTTTGGTCATGTGTTTTTTCCCTAGGTAAATTTTCAACAAAAATGAATTATTTTTATTGTAAAATAAATATTTTTTGGTTAAAAGTGTCAAATACAAGGGCGAGGGTGACTGACCAATTGATGTCCAATCTTTAATCCCCCTCCTCCCCTACTAAAGATCTTAGTGAATAAACTTTTCCTGGTGCAGGGGGGGGGGGGGTAGTTTAAAAACTATATTTAATATGATATAATTTTCTAGCTGAAACTTCTTTAAAAAAAAGAATTACAGGATTAATAATACATTGAGAATAAAAAACTTTGAATAGGAAGACGACATTAAAGCAATACTGAAGTGTATTTGATGTTGTTACAAAGCAAAATGTTTTCCCAGGAACTTATTAAATAACATATTAAGTAAAATGGGTCTGTTTACACAAAACAATTGCTTTGTGTCATGTTCATTAAGTGGAGAATAATGATAATATTAATATATCCAGGGTTACCGGTGAACCCTGACATAGAAGAGATGATGATGGTTTGGGAGAAAGCGGAGAAGAACAATATTAAGCTTAATTCTCCGACCCTACTCGCTTCTCTTCTCAGGTTTTTTCATTTTTATATGCTTAGTGTACACAGATTGTATTAATCATCTTTTATATCAATTTCCGTCCTTTGGCGGTTATTTTTGAAGGGGACTCGGCCTTGATTTCTACGGAATGATATTTGTTCTTCTAATTATTTAGTGTACATGTACAGTGTACAGTGTACAGTGTTCACTGTACTCTTAATTGTAAACTTTCCTTCGTTTTCATTCACTTAAAACTAGATTTATTTGATTTAAAATTCGGTGATGGTGATTGGTGATGGACCAAATTTCTGTAGAGTTAAACAAAAGTAGATGTTATTTCCACATTTATTGAAAATATATTTCGGTCTGGGTTGACCCTCGTCAGTTGTAACGATATAATTTGATTTGATTTGATTTGATTTGATTTGATTTGAAATGATTTGATAGAATACCAAAATCAAATGCAAAACGAATTTTTTATTTTGAATATAAAGCTCTTCGCTTAGCTATAGCTGACCAAATAGGCTGCATTTTTGTTAGGGAAACCCATCGGTGCCCGGGGAGTAACATAGGGTAAAACAATTCAACATTTTTTTTCTCAAGGAAAACTCCGGGTTCTTCAGCAATATTGTAAGACCGTCAAGATAGGGAGGGAAGGTGGGGGTGGGGTAAATATGGCCCGGTGTGGCGTTATATCTGGGTAAACGTTAAATAATGGTAGTAGACTCTACGTAGCAAATTTTCCGCCGCATATTTTTGCAGTTTACGGCAATGAGCACAATAGAAATCTGGTATTTTATCTGAAATTTTAAAATTAGAAATTATATTTATACACTTAAAATATACACTTTATACTTTATAATGTGAGTACAGAAGTAATTAACTATGCATTAAACTCTCATTTGTTGCAAGTATCAGAATTTTAACAATTAACTTACGTATACTAAGCATTAAGCTGTAATATCGATCCCTAATGTTAAAACAATTGATTATTACACTGTCTGTCGCTCAGCAAAACTTGATTGATTCTCAAATATGAGAAATTCTTTCACTTAATTTACTGTTTACATTCACAAAATTGTGCGCTAATGCGGCGGAAAATTTGCTGCGTAGAGACTACTACCATTATTTAACGTTTACCCAGAAATAATGCCACACCTGTATAACTTAGTTGTTAGTCAGATGAAAATTTGTATAGGATAATAGGAATTAATCCCATATGGACTCGGATGCCGCGACTGTTTCCTTATTGTGTACACCGGAAACAGTTCGTCTTCGACTTTTTGTAAAATCTTATTCTTGCGAATTTGAAAAAATTTTATCAAAAACTTGTAACTCAATAGAACCCCTAAGCCTATTTCTTGATCGAAATGCCGCTATTCCGGACGACATCCCTAAATCTCTGATTGATTGATTGATAAACGCTAGCGTTGTCAATCGAAACAACTTAAAGAAAATATTGTGGTCCATACAGCCGGAACTCAAATAAACGAATATTTACAAGAAGCACGAATAAAGCTTTGAAAAACGCCGAATTCTAAGTGGGATAAAAAATAAAAATAAGTTAACCTGGAAGAACAAAGGTTCTTCAGGTTATACATTTAGTTCATCCCACCATCAAAATTAACAAAACAAATGATATTATTCATACTAGGGACACCCTTATTTCGGCGTTTTTGACCACATAACAAAGTCTAATTCGTGCAAGTCCTTTAAAATATTCGTTTATTTCAGTTTTTATATCCATATACTAATTAGGGATTCTGAGGAGGTTTTAGCTCTTCATGGACGGATTAAACTATCTGGAGTTGAGAGAGATAATTGTCTGTTTGTTGTTGAGCACAGGTTAGTGGTTGAAAAAACATATTATTATTAAATTTTATAATTATATTATAAAACATCATGCAACATTATCTTTTGTAATCAGCATTCATCTCTAAACCAATTTCCTCGTGAAATATTTTAAAAAGTATAAAATAGAACATCTACATAATACTTCGTTTGTCTGTTTGTTTGTTTGTATCCAATACACGTCATAACGGCTGAACCGATCGGGTCCAAGTTTTGTGTGGGAACTTACTTGACCACATGGAATCGAATTTTCAAATATTTGCCTCTAACAAAATTCAATTTTTAAAAGTGTTGAAAATCAAAGACATTTTTTTTTTAAAAATCCGCGAAATTTTTGTTGTTTTTTTTACAATGTACATAAAGAGAAATGTTCACAATTTAAATAAAAGATAGGCGCGAAGCTCCTTAATAGCCTAGTGAGCCTAATATGTATATATTTTTGCTTATCTGGTAAAATATATAAAAACAAATATACTATTTACCACTATAGGAGTTAATGAGTCTTTGCCACAAACTCTTATTTTCTAATCCTTATACTTTGCAACCCAATAGTTTAGACCTTTGATATTTCAAATTATGAACTCTACAATATCAAATAATCTAAGTCGAAAGAATGAATGGTTTAGACGATCAGGTTACAAAGATAAAGGGATTAGAACATTTGAGTTTATGGCAAAAACTCAATTTCTTTTTGGATTTTATTCTAAATTAGTTTTTTACATAAGATTATATATATATATATATATATATATATATATATTTTAGAGGAATTAAACCTGCCCCTACAGCTATCCGACCCTATCAGTATTTAATGGTGGATTCTAAATCTAAGCCAGCCGACACAAGGTATTTATTAATAACATTATTATAATATTCATTTTGTTAATTATTATCACAATTAAGGTTGTAATTAGTTCTAGTCCTGTAGTTTTACAGTTTAATGAAAAACTATCCCATTTCTTATGAGCTCTATTATTACTTAAACTACATGGGTTCTGCTGTATAACGGAGACCTTGAACTAACATTGTTTAGGATGTATATAAATCAAGTTCTGCTGTATAACGGAGACCTTGAACTGATATTGTTTAGGATGTATATCAATCAAGTTCTGCTGTATAACGGTGACCTTGCACTAGCTGAAGAGTTTGAATCATGGGAGGCTCCCCGATTCCCTGTAACAGGTTTAAATTCGTCAAATCATTTTTGGAAAGAAAAATTTTCAGTAGACTGTGTCCTTTTTCGTTTCTGTTATTTTTTGCAGATTCTGATCCAGGCACTACAAATTTTACCAAAATTTGAAGTAAACACATTTTTAAATAAATATATTTCTTGTGCTGTTACTGTCTAATTTTGATATGGAAAATAAAAAATAAATTAAATTATACGAAATTCAGAAGATAATTCTAGTTCTTAGATTTAAAAAATTTCTACCGAATCTGGTTTACTGGCTATCTATATAATTAAATAAAACATTCGTATATATGTCCCCTATAGCCGGCCAAACGGCTCGACCAAATGGGCTGAACTTTTTTGTGGACACTCATTCGTAGCACTGGAGTGACAAAGGCTAAAAAATTCGGATTTTTTTCAAATTTTTTTTCCCATGGGCAACGCCGGGCCCTTCAGCTAGTTATTATTATTTTCATGGACAAAATTATTTGATGATATTTATGCAGGAAATCATCTCAAAGAGAATGGATGTCCACCCGGAAGAATAATGTCTGTAGTGCTAACAAAACTTAAGGAAAAATCAAATAAACAAAATGGAATTATGAATCAGAAAATTAAATATATATCTAGAATCTAGATGGTAAAATTGTAAAAGTAAAAAATTGGAAAACAAGATGTAACTTGATTAGATCAAAAGTTAACAGTTATTTGGTGATAATTATTTCTGCTAAATTGTTGTTAATTTAACCCTTTTCGTCGATTTAAAAGTTTTAAAAAAAATCTGAACGGTTTGCATAGAAGGTCTGATATTATTTGGTTCATCCTAGAAAATCAAATGATCTCTTTTGCAATAAAATTTTTTATTAAAATAATATATTATTTGATTAATTGATTGAACCAGGATATCTGGAAGGAGTCGAACTTTGAGATGCCCCTGGACAACTTGATTCTTCAGATCCCCAGTATTCTTGAAACAGTCAGCGTAGAGGATATTCAGAAGGAAAAGAGACCAAAATCTAGACAGAGAAGATAGATTATTAACTGATCATTGTTTCATATTTTTGGATCTCAGTTCTGGGGTTTAAGCAAACCTGTTTCATTGCTCACACTTAAGCAAACCTGTTTGATTGCTCACACTTAAGCAAACCTGTTTCATTGCTCACACTTAAGAAAACCTGTTTCATTGCTCACACTTAAGGTTCATCAATTTACGGATAAAATTTTTCTTTAAAAAAATTAAGTTTCCTCGCAAATCATCACAAAAACGAAAATTGTTTTTTTTTTGGTAATGCTTCCCAGCCGGATTCAATTAAAAATATGTTCAAAAGGACAGACTCCTCCAGAGTTTAAATATATCTGTGATAAATTTTAAGATTAGCAAGGCACCACTGTGATGTTGTTTATAAAACATTTTTTTGTATTTCAGAGTAGAATGTCTCTGTTTCGTAAACCGAAAAAGATTGTTCGTAGCCGAGCTCCGGTGGGACAGGAGGAGGACAGCGGAGAGGACGAGGTGGAGGTTCTCCAGGTTAACATCACCAACCTCAAGAAGGAAAAGAAGGATAAGAAGAAGAAGAAAGAAAAGGATAAAGAGAAGGAAAGAGGAGATAAGAAAACCCTGCTCAGTTTCGAAGAAGAAGGTAAATATTTTAAAGGGAGTGTCCTTGAAAATTAAAAAAAGGGGTATCGGCTAAGTCAATTATGGATCGGTGCAAATTTTACTTGTTTCTTTTTCATCAGTAATAAGAAAAGTTGCTCGCAGAGGAGATGTCCCGTAAGTTCTTCAGCTCTGCAGGTTCATTACTCGGACATGCACCTTTTAGTTTGGGGGTCAATTGAAAATACATTTATAGTCCCTTTAACTCTATTTATAAAATGGTAATTTTACTATTAAGACAAACTTATCTTTCTTTTTAAACAAGATTATTTAACAACAAAAATCAAAAGCAAAGCAAGTACATCTTTTATTTTAAGCACTTTTCACGAGCTTTCATCTCGAGTTTGTTATGTAGTATAGGGCTTCCATAAAACTCTGATTGGTTGATTGATTGATTGAACTTTATTAATACTAGGAGAGGTTGAAGAGTTTAAGATAAAGAAAAGTTCTGCTTCAAGAAAACTGATGAAACAGAAGAAAGAAGGACGAAGAGAATTATCTCCAAGGAACATTGACTGTTCAATTTATCCTAAACCTATCATTTGTTAAATATTTTATTATTTTATACAGCTTCTATCATTAAACCGTGTCTATTTACTTGGAAACTTTTCTTTATTTCTTTCAAATCAAGGATGACCGCCAGCAGTACATATTTGCTCGAATATTTGGTAAGTTGTCAAATCAGAATAAAGAGAAAAAAGGATAACTGAAATATTACATTAATATTGAAAATTTGCAATGGCTGACAGAAAAATGTTAGAAATCTCATTAAGACAAATCTTATCTAATAAACCTGAAAACCTCTGGTGCTGAAGGTCTGGCTAAAATGGCACAAATTGCAGAATTCATCATTTCACTTTCTCGTTTTAACTTTTTATTTATTTAATAATTTTTAAATTTGAACGGTTTGTGGTTTAGCCCTGAGAAGGAGAACGGGAAGGAGAAGGAAGAGAAGAAGAAGGTGATGGTCGGGATGAAGGTGATGGACGACGATGCAGATGTTCCAATCAAGGTATTTGGATTATAGAACACATTGCTTAGGATCCATAATTTTACTGCAGGATTCGGATCCACATCTTAATTACATGGAACATATATATTCAGAACTGGGAACTTTTGAATGGTGGATATTGGGATTAATGATTGATCCAATCTTTTTCTTAATCACTAGATTAAATAATGCTTGTTCTCCTCTTGTTATTAATCTCTTGATTAATTAGCCGATCGGGATTAAGGATATCCCATTCGAAAGTTTTCAGCTCAGAGCTGGAAATTCTCGTACTGTGGATATCGAGATCAATGCTTGATCTCCTCTTTTTGTCTATCTGCAGATTAATTTTATCTTTATTTGAAATCCATGAAAGTGTCTGAAATTCGACCAATCAGAGTGTCGTTTGCAGAAACCGAACAACTAATCAGAATCCCGAAAAATTATCGCGCAACCAATGAGAGAGATCATATTGGTAGAAACTCAGGAGGGAAATCCAAAAGAGAGGATTATTATTTATTATCTCTATCCGACAGAAGAGTTTCTTGATCAGGTCCTTTTCCTAAATAAAAGAACTATATTAAGGAGAAGAAAGGTATGAGCTGGACCCTGTCTGGACGTGAAGCTGAAGCCCTGCATGCTGAGGAGGATGATGCTGATGATCCTGCAGAATCTGATGACGAGGATCCTCTCCTCAAGATCATCCAAAGTCGGTATTATTCAATATTTTTAAACCATTTTTTCTATTTTCGGAAATTTTTTTTTCGTGAAAACAATACCCTCTCTCTCCTGTCAGTAATTTGAGCATCCAAAATCGGTATTATTCAATATTTTCAAACCAATTTTTCAGAAAAAGGTATTACAAGTATTATCTACCTTTTGTTTATTTTTCTGAAATCTATTATAAGATAGCAAAAACATCCCCCACAACACTTTAAGTAATTTGAGAACCCAATCCAAAGTTTGGTATTATTCAATATTTTTGCACAATTTTTTCATTTTTCTGAAATCTATTGTGAGATTATCAAGTCGAAAGTCAAGTAGAAAAATCAATTTAAGTCGAANTTTCTGAAATCTATTATAAGATAGCAAAAACATCCCCCACAACCCCCTCCTTCAAGTAATTCCTGGATCCAAAGTTTGGTATTATTCAATATCGTTTAAAACATTTGAGAAATGGTAATTCAATTAGCAAAATCTATCAAGTCGAAAGTCAAGTAGAAAAATCAATTTAAGTCGAAAGTCAAGTAGCAAACAAAGTCGGAATTTCTTATTTTGTTTTGTTTTTGTAAATATCATTTTACGAAAAATATAATAAAATTGAATTTTTAAATTGAGAAACCCAACACTCGCTACGTTAGATTTAAACTATGTCAGGCTGAAAAGCCTTCACCTATAAGGGATTGTGATGGCATACCCCTTGTAGGTCAAGGAGCTGTTGGACACTTCCCTAGCTGTATGATATGATATGATATGATATGACAAGTACAAAAGCTAGTTTTCTATTAATTTAAGAAAGAGCAAAGATGTTTCATACAGATAGATATTATGTATGTTAAAAGTATATCTTGATTAAGAATTATTAAAACTCTTTAGGTTGTAATAAAAGAAAAGAAAGTAAAAGTATTGAAAAATTATAACTCAATTTAACTGTACACTCAATGAAGAGTTTCTTCACTTGAGATTTGCATGGGCACATTATTGTCCTGATTCTGCGAAGCTGCATAAAAACAACTTAAAGTATTTTGATTATTAGAGGATTCGTTTGTTCATTCATTGTTCGTTCATAGGTTGCGCCGACCAAAAATGTCTTATTTTTTCCCATTCATCATTTATTTTATGAATATTAATCAAAACTCAAAGTGAAGTTTGTTTCTGAAAAAAATTGCTTTCTGAAATTTGGGCGCAAAGATGGTACGCCAGTATTTTGAAATACCGCGAGCCCCTCTTCTTCCCCTCGAAAAAAAATGTTTGTTCAGTTGTTGAACCTTTAATGTTGTAGGTGGAGGAATACCAGATGCCGCGTCAATTCACGCTGCGCGCAAACGGCGTGAAGCCATGCGCGCAAAGGGAGGTAAAGACGACTTCCTACCTCTGAAACCACACAAGAAGAAGGTATAAAGTTCATGCACTCGCCGCACCAGAAGATTATCATGTCCGTACTCATCAGTTAGTGTGGTTAAAAACCAAGACCGGGATGGAGGTGTGGAAGCACATTTCATGGAAAATTAGTTTTAATATCTAAAAGTCAAACTTCAACATTTGTTTTTTCCTTCTTGCAAAGATAGCAGTGTCCGATTTACTACCACACACTTTAAAGCTTTGTCTGATCAAGTATGAATTATATAAACATGTTTTTGTTATTTAAACTATTTATTTTGATTTGTGGTGTCTCTGCGAAAGTGAGATATGCTAGTCTTGCTTATCAGAGGCAATGGAGAAATTATCAGAATTAAGCAGAAAAACGATAGTATCTTCCACATTTTTGATCAGATGAAGGTTTGAAAGGTGCCCTGGTAAATCGGGCATTGGTAACTTTGAATGGAGGATTACTTGAAATTAAGCTTTCAGTTCCTTTAATTCATAAAATAATTTTTGATAGTATTAGTACTGTACGGGTTGAACTGGGCATAAAGAATTTAGTTGCAGTATAGAGATAAAGAGAATTCAGTAAGGGTAGGTTTACATGCATCGATATTTTAGATGCTTTCAAATATTTCAGGTTTATAAATACGTCTAAGAGAATGATATTTCAAAATTTTATTTGCTTTAAGTTTGCTTTTCTTTTAGAGCGCTTCGCGCCCATCTTCTATTTCAACTTTTAATTATGGCTTTATCTGTGAGCATCTTCTCTTTGAGCAATATATAACAAAACTAAAAAGTTTGAGGATTTAACTTTTTTTCGCGCATTTTCAAAATTTTACACCAATTAAAACTTTTAACACCAAATTTTATAATTTAAACATTCATAAACCTTCCCTGGGGTCACGTGACAAACAGACAGACAGACGAGCTAAATTTATACATAAATAGATTAATACAAAGAAACTATTTGATAACAATATTTTCAGGCCCACGCATAACTTCTGTTAAAGTCAACATTTAGGTAGTGAACATGGATAACATTTAGAACCTTGTGAAGCCTCTTAAGAGCCAAAATGTTAACTATAGACGGAAATATTTTTATTTTATTTTTTATTCCAAGGGTAACGCCGCGTGCACTTCCGCTAGTAATATATAACGCCATGCTAGTTAAACCCGCTTTCTTTGTCATATTCCTATTTGAAGCAATCCTTTCTAATCTTGTTTCAGGTGGAAGAAGTGAAGAAGGAAGGGAAAAGACTGGTGAGGGAAGAAGATGAAGAAGAAGAAGAGGATGAAGAGAGAATAGCATTTACTGTAGGAAAGGACAAAGAAGAATATCATAGGTGAGCATTGAAAATAACGGAGTGAGGAAACAATAAAAGGGACGTGCATGATTATTGTTTTTATTTAATGCTTGAATGATTGACTGATTTTTTTGGTTGAAACAAAAGATTGTTTCGAGAGATTATTTGTATTTTTTTTTGGTAAATAAAGATTGATTTTGGGACTTGATTGATTGATCTATGAACTGGGAGATTTTCTTTTGATTGCTAGATCGATTTTTTTTAATTTGTAGAATGAATAATTGAGTTGCGACTCGATTTATTAATTTATTTACTTTATTTGTTTATTTTTTATTGATTAATTATTTATATGTATGTATATTCTTAGAGTGCTTGATTGTGATTGATCAATCAGTCGAGTGATTTTATGAGTAAATGTTTTATTGATTGTTTGATTGATTGATTGATTGATTGATTTTCAGAAAAATTGGTAAAGCGGATAGTTCTGAAGATGAAGAGGGTTGGGAGCAGATGCAGATCAGGAAAGCCATCACGGGAACCAAAGTAGGATTTTTAGAGATTTTTTAGGAATTGTACTTTTTTCAAGTTTTTATGTTGGTTGGGTGGTTCATTTATTTTTTTTTCGTTTGTTATGTTTTTTTATTGGGTTTGTGAGTTTTTTTGGGGGTTGTTCCAATTTTTTGGCTATGTGACTTTATGATTTCTCAACGTTCTTATGATTTTATGGCTTTATTTTGCTTCTTTAGGGTTATTGGGAATTTTTGGTTTATGGTACGGTTTTTGGTTATATTTTATAATACTTGTTCGTGGATTTCTTCTTCTACAATATTATGATTTTTTGGTTGTGTTAAATTTTTGCTTGTTTGGTTTATAATGTGATTATTTGGGTTTAAATTTTTTTTTTATCGTTCATAAACATTCTCTGGGGTCATGTGAAGTCCCACAAAAAAGTTGGGCACGATCGGTTCAGCCGTTTTGACTTTTATTGGATACAAAAAAACCAGATAGACAGACAAACAGACAAGCAAGTATTTATATAGATAACGAATTTTAACGTTATATATGATTTATGCAAATTTTCCAGTTATTAGGAATCTTCGTTTCGAAAAGGATTTCAAATGGTTTTATTTGGATTTACCCCACTTACTTTAAACTTTTTTCTTACTTCAATATTGTCATTTTTACGTTTTCTCATAATCCATTGGGTTTCACAACGATTAAGTCATTTATTTGTTACGATTTCCATGGTTACGGTCTGATTCGGATTCGGATTTTTTTTATTTGTAGCAATATATTGGATATTTTTCATTCTAGATATCAGAAGCACAGGAAGATGTAAATGGAGAGGGTTGGTTTTCAGCCTCAACTCAATCCCAGCAAATGACCTCCGGCGCACCTCAGCCCGCGCTAGCCAGACCGGTCAACTATGATCTGAAAGGTATCCGAGACAGGATGAAACAAAGGTATGAAGGGAGAATTAAATTTCACAGAAAATTGTCCACGCTGGGAGGCATGCATCCCTTACATTTAAAAATATAATTGGCAATGTTTTTGAGAGGTTTGTGACATAATAAATTAGTTTTCAATAATTAATTTTTGGCATTTAGCATAACTTTGTTATGCTTATACTTGTTAAAGGAACATAAACATGTGGGCTTTATTTTATGATCAATAAATCTTTGCAACTTGATTGTAAAAAAATCGGATTTTATAATATCAGCGGTCTAAGACACCTGGTTGCAAAGATATAAGGATCAGAAAATTAATGTTCGAGTCGGGTTATCAATTCGTTTTATGAATGATTATTAAATATGTTATGTGAAGGTGTACCGAGTTGACGGAGGTATCCCGACGACACAATGCAGATACAGACAAAGCAGTAGACGATCTTGTTACCAGCCAATCAGAAATTACTAGGTACCAGTAGAGCACAGATTTACTATTAAATTTATAACTGCAAATCCGCCACGTTAAAGCATGTAAATCTCCGAAAAGAGAGATTTCATGAGAACATAATATTTATACAATTAATAGATACAGTTAGTTAGTTCTACCACTTTTCTCACTGTAGTCAATAAAATCACAACTTAGTGTTAATTGATTGATTTAATTTTTTCTATGGTAAATTTATTTGATTAATTTACAATTATTTATTGAATGAGTAATTTGATGCCTTTTTTATGAGTGCTTTAAACCCATTGATTTATTAACTGCTTATTTATTGATTATTGCGAATGATTGATTGATGATTTATTTTTTGATTGGTTTATTGAATGATTGATTGTTTCAATGATTTATTGAATGATTGATTAATTTACTGATTGATAAATTTATTGATTTATTTATTTTTAAATTTGATTAACTGATTATCTATTGATTGACTTATTAGTTGGTTGATTGAGTGATTGATTGATTTAGATTGGAAGCTGAGATACCGCGGCTAGCTGCCCGGCATAGGATGTTCCAGCAGCTTCGAGGATACTTGACTGATCTTGTTGACTGTAACCCATTGATTTATTAACTGCTTATTTATTGATTTATTTTTTGAATGTTTATTGAATGATTGATTGTTTGAATGGTTTATTGAATGATTGATAAATTTATTGATTAATTGATTTATAAATTGATTAATTGATTATCGATTGACTGACTAGTTAGTTGATAGATTTAGTGATTGATTGATTGATTGATTTAGATTGGAAGCTGAGATACCGCGGCTAGCTGCCCGGCATAGAATGTTCCAGCAGCTTCGAGGATACTTGACTGATCTTGTTGACTGCTATGACGAGAAGGTCATTATCTAACATACACCTAATTTATATCCTGAGTTTAACTTGATTTGGGCGTTAAATTAAATTTCATTTATATTTTGTCAGCGTTGTTTTGATTTGATAGGCTCCGAATCAATTCATTTTTTCAACAATTTTGATTTTTAATAAGGTTTCGATTAGGGTTTGTTCAGGTTTTAATTTAGGTTTTAATAAGGATGGAGTTTTTAATTTTTTGTAGATTTACTTTGCTTAGCTTTGAAAAGGTGTATGATATGATATGATATGATATGGTATATTATAGTATTTATTTTCAAACACAAATATAAAATAATAAGGCATGATGAAATTGATGGTTCAATAAAAAACAAAACAAAAACGAAAATTTATTATGAGCCAATTGAAAATATTCTATTTAATAATTTTGTTCTGATCGGTATTTGTACTTTGTTGAAATAAATTATTCATATTGAAATCTCAACTGATTATGCATTTTTAGTGCATTTACAATTATTTGTCAGCTCACAAATAATCAAAACATTTTCAGGAATACATTCATTGAACTTAATACATATTGATTCAGCAAAATAGCAATGTATTCTTGTTTACTGTAATAGACTTTGAGATCCACCATAAGCTAAGTTTGGAAACCCATTCTTGTTGACTGTAGTGCAATTTTAAAAAAATGTCATATTTTGCGTAGGTTGGAACCATTGAGTACATGGAGTCCAGGTTGAATAAGATGTACGAGGAGCACAGGGGCAAACTCAGGGAGCGAAGGAGACAGGACGTTAAGGACCAGGTTAGGACCGTCAAATATATTCCAATAGCCACCAAGGAAACTGTTAATTTAAAACAGTTGAGATATTGATCTGTGAAAATGTAATTTCATGGTCTATCATTGGCAGAGAGGTTTAAGTTCTCGGGACAAGTTTAAATAGCAAATTAAGTTTTATAATAAACAATTGATATTTTTTCTTCAAAACTTGCCGTATTTTATTTTGAAAATTCGGAGATTTTAGAATCTGGGATTAATGCAGAGATTAACAATACTAAAGTTTCAACCATAACACTTTAGGAAAGTATTGAAAAAAATATTTCAGGCGGAATGGTTGCACGCCTCCTCCGCCACAAATATCGCCGTAATCTTCGATCCAGTTCAAGACGCAGTTAGGGATTTCCGAGTGGCGGAGCGCGAGGGTCGACAGCGGCGGAGAAGGAAGGCCCGGCAGGACAAGAATATAATGCGGCATTGTGAAGGACTGAGCAGTGATGATGAATTGCCGGGACAAGACCAGGCAGCATTGACCAGGGTAGGTCAGGGGAAGTAGGGTTAACCAGGGTAGGTCAGGTTGAGTAGGTTTAAATAAGGTAGGTGAGGGTGAGTAGGGTTAACTAGGGTTAAATAGGGTATGTCAGAGGGGAGTAGGCTGAACTAGGATGGGTCAGGGGAGAGCAGGGTTTACTAAGGTAGGTCAGGGGGAGAAGGGTCAACTAAGGTAGGGAAGGGGAGAGTAGGGTTACTTCAATTGCACTCTCTCAAAAGTCAGCGTCAGCACAAATCTAGCATTATTTGATTGATTGATTGATTGATTTATTGATTAGGTGAAGAGTGATGTAGAAAACCAGGCTCGACTAACTATGGAGGACGTTATAGAGGACTTTTCCGACCTTTCCGTTGTCCAGGTACAACAAGAACTAAACAAAATTTGCCTTTGCCAACTTTAGGGGTTGAAAAAGGAAAAATCTTTTCTTCTCCCCCCCCCTTTCCCCCTTTATTTTTAAAAACCAATTTTCCCCAAAAGTTATATATGCTTTTAATGTACGTCCATTTTCCCCCAAATCATTAAAAACCATTGGAGGGGTATTCAGAAAAATAAACACCCCTGACAAACTTTAGATTGAACAAACTGAAAATAAGTGTCTTCTTTAAACAAACTATTTTTTACAAGGGCTAAACTGATAAAATCATAGTACATAAAAGGGGCTTAAGATGTAGAAATTAAGTGAAATGGAATCAATTTCTTAAAATATTTAATACCAAGATTGAAACAAAAATGTTGAATGTGAACTTTGGGCAATTGTTTGCATTTTATGTTTTGTTTTAGTTAAAGGTTCTTAAGTTCGGAAGGCCCACTTAAGCATTGTATTTTCCAGGGGTTAACAAAATACAAAACTCTTTTTTTTGCGGATTTTCTAAATCTCAATAGTAGATTTTACCTTATAATTCCAGGATAAACTATCTGGTTGGAGAAATGATGATGTAGAAAGCTATAAGTCTGCCTACGTATCTCTAGTTCTACCTAAAATCTTCTCACCTCTGATCAGGTAATATTTGTGTTGTTGGGGTACAAAGTTACTTCTCTTAAAGGGACTATGTAGTGTGTACTCAATTTTAAGTGATTTTCATTAGAACCTTCGTCTGATATAGAAAAATAAAGATCCATGTTTGAAAATTAGTTGTTTACAATTCAGTTTCTTTATATAGTACTTGAGGATATATAAATCTCAAATAATGAAAAATATTGTCAGAATTATACAATTTTTAAGTAATCTTTGACATTTTTTGATCAAATAAAGATTTTAATGGTATTGTTTTGAATAGACTTAAACCTCTTATTTATGGAAAATCAATCGAATTTACGACGATAGTCCTTTTAAACAAGGTTTTTACTCTTAGGTTGCGGTTTATTCAGAGAAATTTTCTTTTAAACAAGGTTTTTACTCTTAGGTTGCGGTTTATTCAGAGAAATTTTCTTTTAAACAAGGTTTTTACTCTTAGGTTGCGGTTTATTTAGAGAAATTTTCTTTTAAACAAGGTTTTTACTCTTAAGTTGCGGTTTATTCAGAGAAATTTTTTTTTAAATAAGGTTTCTGGACTCTTAGTTTGCGGTTTATTTGGAAAAATTCTCTTTTAAACAAGGTTTTTGGTTTTTTGACTTTCAGCTTGCAGTTTATTCGGAGAAATTCTGGCTACAGTCGTTGTTTTATATATCAATACATTGATGACTATACTTTCAATTTCTATTTTTTTTCTTCAATTTTTAAAGAGAAGCTGTCAATAAGCATCTTCTTATTGTTATTTAAACTTGTAATTTGACAAAAGCTTGTTGGAAATCAATACTTAAAGAGAAAAGTCGTCTTCATTATATTGATATGAACGCATACCACTGTGGTTCCACAGATTTGAGAAGAAAGGATGGAAGTGATTGTATTTTGATAAAATCACAAAAAAAAACTTTGTTTTAAATATTAAAAGTACCATAAGGGCAACCCGCAACATTGTTTAACTTACTGGAAATTAAAATTTCTTCGGCGATCCTCTAGATATTTTTGTGTTAACATTATTCACAGTCTGTATGATATATATAGGTATATTATTTTTATTTTTATAGAATGGAAATACTGTTCTGGAATCCATTTCTAAGTGATGAAGAAATACAAGAAATGGGTTGGTATAAAACTCTGGCAACATACGGGTTAAACAGAGAAACAGGTCGGTAACATGCACATTTTAGTGAAAACTATTATTTATGAGAAAAAATATTTCAAGAAAAACGTACTCCCGGGTTTTTCTTTTCTGTTTAAGTATTTGACAAAGAACCCAACATTGTCATTTTTGTCTTAAAAAAATGAGTAATTATTATTTTATTGATCTTATTTTTTTTAAATTGTCCATAGATCGAATTGGATAAATCATTTAAAAGTTAAATCATGAGGATTGCCTAATTGCGCGAATATCATTTTTATTGTTATTTTAGATGATCTGTCCATTGCTATCCGCAGTCTTAAAATTGCCGAACTCAAAACAGGGGGAAATAAAAAAGGTCTTTTTTTGCGACCAATTAATTGTTAAAGAAACCATTAAATAAAAATTGGGGGAATTATAGGGGGAGGGGGAATAATTTTGTACCAACGAACTACGTACTCCCCTTCACTTCCAATTTTGTAGTCCTTATATTTTTGCAACCTAATGGTGCACACCTTTGATATTTCTAACTTATACTTCTCAAACTAACAAAATTCTCAACTTAAAATATCAAATGTCCACGACACAGGTGGCAAAGATATAATGATTCGATTCGATTTGATTGGATTTGATTCAATTTAATTGGATTTTATTTTATTTAATTCAATTTGATTTGATTCGATTTTTGATTTGATATTGGTTCGATTTTTTATTCGATTTTTTATTCGATTTTTTAATTTGATTTTTGAATTGACTCAACTCATCTCGACTCGAATCGAATCAAATCGACTCGACTCGATTTTATTTTATTTATATAAAGGTGAAGATATTGCTGGGTTGGTAAAGGATGCTGATAGAAACCTACTTTCTCTCTGTATAGAGAAGGTTATTGTTCCTAAGGTAAAATCATTATTAAATACATCTGACTTGAGATGGAATTTAAAGAATTTGAGCCGCGGTTTAAATCTGCCAAAACCCGATTTAAATTAAGCGCCGGCTTAAATCTTGAAAAATTTGATACAATTTTAAGTGGAACCAACCATATTTAAGCCGCGGCTTAAATTTAAACCGCCGCTCAAATTCTTTAAATTCGTTGACAGGATGAGGGGGGGGGGGGCTTTTTGCCTCGAATTAGTTGAATTCCATTATTTTTTAGCTTTAAAACTTACATTTTTTTTATTAAGATTAAGAATTATAGTTAGCTTTTTAATTTTTTTGTTTTAATTACTTTTTAGATTTCCGAAATAATTCGAACCGGTTTTGATCCTGTTTCTACCAGTCAAACAAACAGAGTTATCGGTGAGTAAACCTCAAACTAGTTCATGATTTATCAGGTTTAAAGGAAGGCCACCCTCCTCACGTACGAGAAGTAAAATCCTTGATAAAAAAAAATTGTCTGGTCACGCGATCATTAATGAAATATTAAAATTTTGTAAAACGGGAAAACATTGTCTCAAATCAATTATAGTTTTCAAGTTCTTTATCGTTCACTTTTTTTACGAAATTACAGTCATTCCTATTTTAGAATGCCGCGAATATTTCCAAGTTCATGGAACTTCAATCTTGTTGTAACAAATATCTCCAATATTAGAAAGATTTCCTACTTTCTTTAATTAATTCATTTCTTCTTTTCTTATGGCGTTGTGTAGATTTAATAATGTATTCATAGTTGTGGTGTATATTCTAGGTGTACTAAATTTTGTAAATCTAGATGAACTGTATAGTGTATTTCTATGTGTACTGAATATTGTATATCTAGATGTACTGTATAGTGTATGTTCTAGGTTTTCTGATTATTGTATATTTAGGTGTACTGTAGTGTATTTCTAGGTGTACTGTATAGTGTATTTCTAGGTGTACTGAATATTGTATATCTAGGTGTACTGTATAGTGTATTTCTAGGTGTACTGAATTTTGTATATCTAGGTGTACTGTATAGTGTATTTCTAGGTGTACTGAATATTGTTTATCTAGGTGTACTGTATAGTGTATTTCTAGGTGTACTGAATATTGTACATCTAGGTGTACTGAATATTGTATATCTAGTTGTACTGAATATTGTATATCTAGGTGTACTGAATATTGTATATCTAGGTGTACTGATTATTGCATATCTAAGTGTACTGTGTAGTGTATTTTTCGGTGTAATGATTATTATATATCTAGGTGTGCTAAATATTGTATATCTAGGTGTACTGAATATTTTATATTTAGGTGTACTGAATATTGTTTATCTAGGTGTACTGTATAGTGTATTTCTAGGTGTACTGAATATTGTATATCTAGGTGTACTGAATATTGTATATCAAGGTGTACTGAATATTGTATATCCAGGTGTACTGAATATTGTATATCAAGGTGTACTGTACTGTATTTCTAAGTGTATTGCACTGTATATATTAAATCTAGGTGTACTAACTGTATATATCTAAATGTAAAGTACTGTATATATATTTAAGGGTACTCTTATATCTATGTGTACTGTATATCTAGGTGTACTGTACATATCTAGGTGCACTGTATGATGTATCTAGGTGTTCTGTGTATTGTATATCTATGTGTACTGTACTGCATATATCTAGGTGTACTGTCCCGATTAGTACGTGATTATCCAACACTAACAATGCGAAGTAAACATCTCCGTCTCTGTTTCTCCAACGTGACAGAACTAATAAAGGACTGCTTAGATCAGGACGTGTAAGTCTAAATTTTAATAATTTTTACTTAAAAGGATTTTTTTAATGACTAGTTGGAGTGCTCGGCGTTGCCCGTGAAATAAAAAAATCTAATTTTGAAACAAAATATTTTGGAAAATAAAAATTAATTTTTGTTCTAAAAAAAATGTTAGCCAATTTGGTCCAGCCGTTTGGTCAGCTATAGCTAACATAAAAATATATAACATATATATATATGAGAAAAGAGCTTTTTTTTATATAGATAATTTAAGATTCTAAAAATTGTATTTAAGAATAGGGGTGATGCATTTTTGACATTCTTTTTTGATACTTATTACCCAAATTTATTTTTTAACTCACTAGGTCCCAACCTTTTAAATTAATTGTGAATGTATTTTTAGATATATACCTATGTACAGCAAGGTTCAAATGGAAAATACTAGCTCTCCGTATCTAATTTTCTTCCAGAGACAATTCTACGCAGCTCTCAAACTTTTCAAGAATATACTAGCTTGGCAGGTATATACAAACTTTTCAAGAATATACTAGCTTGGCAGGTATATACAAACTTTTCAAGAATATATTAGCTTGGCAGGTATATACAAACTTTTCAAGAATGTACTAGCTTGGCAGGTATATACAAACTTTTCAAGAATATACTAGCTTGTTAGGTATATACAAACTTTTCAAGAATATACTAGCTTGGCAGATATATACAAACTTTCCAAGAATATACTAGCTTGGCAGGTATATACAAACTTTTCAAGAATATACTAGCTTAGTTCATTTTCCCCAATTTGACGAATAAAAACAATAAAAAAAAACTTCTGGGGAGGGGGAAAGAATTATTCGGGAAATTTACACCCCGCATATTTATAAGGAAGATCGGGTGTGGGGAGGCTTTTCAGAATGTTCATATTTTTTTTCACCAGTTCACTATATTTCTTGTCTAGGGAATATTATCGGAGAATATGATAACTGAGTTGGCTGTGGACAGTTTGTTAAACAGATATCTTCTTCTATCTTTAAGGAAAATATTGGTCAAATATCTTGTTTTTCTTTTAAGAAATTATTTTTTGAACAAAATTCATCCTTCTGAAATAAACTAAATCCATTATCTGAGAACATTATGAAATATTGGAAAGTTACACGCATGAAATCCCCATAGATTTGTAATGTTCAGACACGAAAGAAAATGCCCCCGATTTTTATTTCAATTGGATTTCTAGTTCATCTTGTCTCAGAAATAAGTTTTTTTAAAGTGACTCTAGGTTGTAATTTTAAGTGAACATTCAGTTAAAGAAGGAATTGCCCGATTCACAACGGTAACTTTAAAACCTTTATTTGATCAATAATGTGGAGGAAAACGTCGGTATTTTTTAGCTTGAACTGCAGTAAACATGCGAAAGTCAGTTTTGTAGAGAGCAAAAATAGAAAATGATAAGTTTTCAAAATGATTAAAATTCATATTTGATCAGATAATGATTTTAAGGTTAATGTTGGGAATCGGAGATCCCACTTGAAATTATGTTTAACTCCCTGTTGTTCAGGGTCACACAAGATTCCATCTATTAAAAGAAAACACCTCCTTCAGTTTTGGAGGCTGTTCATTTCATTCATTTCATTCATTTCATTCATTTCATTCATTTCATTCATTTCATTCATTTCATTCATTTCATTCATTTCATTCATTTCATTCATTAAATTCATTTCATTCAATTCATTCAATTCATTCAATTCATTCAATTCATTCAATTCATTCAATTCATTCAATTCATTCAATTCATTCATTTCAGTCATTTCAGTCATTTCAGTCATTTCAGTCATTTCAGTCATTTCAGTCATTTCAGTCATTTCAGTCATTTCAGTCATTTCAGTCATTTCTTTGATTTTACTTTAATTTTACTTAATTTTTCTTCATTGTCACCCATTCCTTGAATCTAATGTTTTGTTAGGCCTGGCTAATGAAGAGTGTTACTCTACGCAGTAAAATGTCAATGCTCAATAAGTTCCTGGGAACTGCTGGTGAGTAAAATATTCTTAATATTTGTTTGTCGTATTATGTGATACTGCTTGGGATCCGGATTCCCTGAAATCATAACATTTCAGCTCTCCGGATCCGGATATGCTAATAATATCTGGATCTGGGTCCGGATATGCTAATAATATCCGGATCCTAGTGCTAAAATATCATACAAGAGAGATTATTTAAACTTTTGTGCTCCTAACGGTAAAGTATTTATAGAAAATTTCTTACATTTTTATTTTGTAATAGAAGTAAGAAAAACTTCAATAAACATTCAATGAGCTGGGTTCTGGTTCGTATCATAATGTAATAGAAACTAAGCACTCACTAGTAGAATGAATAAAAATACAGTGTTTTAATTCATCAGTAAATGACTTTTGATTTGACTTTATTTGAAAGAAAAAAGAAAATGCAAAAAAATACAAATGTAAAAAAAGATATGTTATTTATTTTAGGATCCTCGGCTGAATTACCAAGAGATGCCGTTCAGGAGGCAGCAAGGTAAACAGATAAACTGAAACATCTAGAGTTTACATTGATTCACAAAAAGACGCCTCAGCCACAAAAGGCATTAACAGCACAGATACAGAAACAATAAAAGATATGATTAGATTCAAAATTTTAACTGAAAAGTGAATACTAACTAGGTTGAAATGTAACTCAAGCAGTACAATAAAAGTTATGATTAGATTCAAAATTTTAACTGAAAAGTGAATACTAACTAGGTTGAAATGTAACTCAAGCAGTACAATAAAAGTTATGAATAGATTCAAAATTTTAACTGAAAAGTGAATACTAACTAGGTTGAAATGTAACTCAAGCAGTACAATAAAAGATATGATTAGATTCAAAATTTTAACTGAAAAGTGAATACTAACTAGGTTGAAATGTAACTCAAGCAGTACAATAAAAGATATGATTAGATTCAAAATTTTAACTGAAAAGTGAATACTAATTAGGTTGAAATGTAACTCAAGCAGTACAATAAAAGTTATGATTAGATTCAAAATTTTAACTGAAAAGTGAATACTAATTAGGTTGAAATGTAACTCAAGCAGTACAATAAAAGTTATGATTAGATTCAAAATTTTAACTGAAAAGTGAATACTAACTAGGTTGAAATGTAACTCAAGCAGTACAAACTTTAAGACCTCCATAAATTGACTTCAAGTTTGGAGGATAGATTACTAGATCGGTTAATTAATCTAGAGATAAATAACAAGAGAAGAACACGCATTATTTAATCTGGCGATTAAGGAAAAGAGTGGATCAAGCATTAATCCCAATATCCACCATTCAAAAGTTACTAGCTCTGATAATATTTATAAAGGACCTTGGTATTCATTACAGACAAAACGCACAAAATTTATTGCAACCATGGAAGATGGCTGAAAAATCTATATAAAATTATCAGCCTCAATTTGCATTTTAATAAGGAAAAAGGAAATATATAGTTTACAACAATACGAGTGTAATTATGTATCTAATTGTTTATACTGATCCATACTAAAACTGACACACAGACACAAAAATACACATTCAGGCACACAACACACATTGATAGATGATCAACTTCATTGTTAATTTTGTTATTATTTAGGATAACAAGAAAACTGGGGGATGTGGAAACAAGTGATAAACTGAAAACACTCCTGTAATAAATGTACCAATGTTAAACTATGTGAGGCACCGATTTTTTTTTGTTAAAAGTTTTATCGTTCAAGGTTTTTTATTCATAGCTTAAAACAACTACTCGTAAAAAAATATATTTTAAACTTTGTTATGTTTATAACTAGAAGACCGAATACAAAGAATATTTAAAGACGAATGCCCATGTCACCACTTAAATTATCATGTCACACGAACCAGTGTTAGCTAGCAGTAGACACGGTTTACGCTGTTAAAAGGACTTAAGATGTGTCGCTTTCTCTTTATATTTTTCAATTTCATATATTTTGCAATGATGATCTTATATTTCTGATCAGTTTCAAGCACAAATATTGAAAAGTTTACAAACTAGTTATTAACATTTTATGTATTTTTCTAATTAATATTTCAAATTAAAAAATGATTTAATTTGCGAAGGTTTGAATAAATGACATACCTTCCCCCACACAAACAAATATACATTCGAACTTTTTTGATGAAATAAATATTTCTATAATATTTCCTACTGACGATTTAGATCAGGGGTTAGTAGTAAGCAATGGAATTACGCATACTTTGCAATAATGCAAATTCTGTTCATAATTTTGAACATTTTGTTCATAATGTTGAACATTTTGTTCATAATTTAGAACATTCTGTTAATAATTTCAAACATTCTGTTAATAATTTCAAACATTCTGTTCATAATTTCAAACATTCTGTTCATTATTTCAAACATTCTATTCGTTATTTCGAACATTCTGTTCACAATTTCGAACATTTTGTTCAAAGTTTCGAATATTCTGTTCATAATTTCGGATAATCTGTTCAGATTTCTTTAAATACTTAATATTTTTCATTAATCTGGTTCCTGTTTGTGTTTTTACTGGTTTTGTTTCCGTTGTACCATTTGGAAACATGTTTTATGTGACCAACTGTATCAAATTCGAATATTGAAATAAATCAGAATTGGTTTTAAAAGTTTTATTTATTAATGTAGGATTTATCTGTAAGATAAAATCAACTTTTTACTCGCAATATTGAACATATCGAAAGCATTTCTAAAACGAATAATTAGTTCGAAATAACCAACAGAATTTGTATACCCTAACATTGCAATTTTGAACATCATGTTCGCAAATTCGAAATACTTACTGTTTGATAACAGCATATACTGCAGTATTTTTTAATTATTTTATCAACATTGTTTGGGATTAATGAGATATTAAGACGTATTTCATGTTTTTCAGATTAAAAGAATGGAAGAACTAAAACAGTATTTATCATCCAAAGGTGATTAAATTTTAGCAAATTTAAATGTCACAATGTGGAACACATTAATTTTTAATTGGAATCCATATTGCAGAAAAAGATTGATTTGCAATGTCAATGATTAGTTTTAGAAATAGATAAAAATAATTTTATTTATCCATGATACATGATAGAGTCATAGTTTTACTTCTACTGAAAGGGACTGTAAATATAATTTCAAGTGACCCTCTAGGAAAAGACTGGTATATGCGATTCATATTATTACCCTTTAAAGCTTTGTCTGATCAAGTATTAATTAGAAATCCATGTTTTCGTTTTGGAAGTTCTTGATTCTCATGCAATTGTAATTTACTTTTAGAAACAAATAACAATTCTGCAATTAGACAGAGAACTTTAAGAAAATTATGGTACTTCTGCATAATTTTCATGCGACAGAATATTCCTTCTAAAGTACTGTAAGCGTATTTTCAACTCACCCTCCATACAAGAATGGAATTCTTATTTTGCTTTGTCTGGTCAAGTATGAATTATGTTATTTTATTTGTTGTCTCCCTTCAAAAGTGACTTACACATTTCTTGGTTTTAAGAATAACTGGAAAAATTGTCAGGATTAAATATCAGAAAACCTGCGTAATCTTCTACATTTTTGATAAGATTAAGGTTTCAAGGGAACCGTTGTAAATCTGGCATTGACATCTTTGCATGAATTGGGTCACTTGAAATCACGTTTATAATCCCTTTAAAATGTTAAATGGCTTCTTATTTTTCTACCGTTCGTTCTTCTTCGTTAACTGAGCATTCAAAATGAAGTAATTAATTATAACTTTTTAAATTTAAGGCCGAAGAAAATATAATTTTGTAGATTTCAAGAAAAATATTGTTTAGGCCTGGAACCTGCAGATATCCCTAAGGTAAAATTTAAGGTTGGAAATTTTGAATAAAAATATGCTGATCTACAGCGCCTGTACTCCATATCCACAGTGGAAACTTAAATTTTTGCGATAAGTGCTTAAAGGGACTGTTAGCGCAATTTCAAGTGACACTCGCATGCAAAGATGAAAATGCCCGATTTACAACGGTACCTATGATAGCTTTGTCTTATCAGGTATGAATTAGATATCAATGTTTTTGTTTTTAAAAACTTTCTAGTTTCATTTGCGGATTCTCTACGAAAGTGAAATCCATCTATATACATGCTAGGGTATTCTAGTTCATGAGGTGGGACTAGGAGTACTATTTATGAATACATCTGTATATATGCTAGGGTATTCTAGTTCATGAGGTGGTGGTACTAGGAGTACTATTTATGAACCATCTGTATATATGCTAGGGTATTCTAGTTCATGAGGTGGTGGGACTAGGAGTACAATTTATGAATACATCTGTATACATGCTAGGGTATTCTAGAACATGAGGTGGTGGGACTAGGATTACTATTTATGAATACATCTGTATATATGCTAGGGTAAACTGGTTCATGTGGTGGTGGGACTAGGAGTACTATTTATGAATACATCTGTATATATGCTAGGGTATTCTAGTTCATAAGGTGGTGGGACTATGGGGAACTATTTATGAATACATCTGTAAATATGCTAGGGTATTCTAGTTCATGAGGTGGGACTAGGAGTACTAATTATGAATACATCTGTATATATGCTAGGGTATTCTAGTTCATGAGGTGGGACTAGGAGTACTATTTATGAATACATCTGTATATATGCTAGGGTATTCTAGTTTATGAAGTGGGACTAGGAGTACTATTTATGAATACATCTTTACACATGCTAGGGTATTCTAGTTCATGAAGTGGTGGTACTAGGAGTGTTATTTATGAACCATCTGTATATATGCTAGGGTATTCTAGTTCATGAGGTGGTGGGACTAGGAGTACTATTTATGAACCATCTGTATATATGCTAGGGTGTTCTAGTTCATGAGGTGGTGGGACTAGGAGTACTAATTATGAATACATCTGTATATATGCTAGGGTATTCTAGTTCATGAGGTGGTGGGACTAGGAGTACTATTTATGAATACATCTTTATATATGCTAGGGTAAACTGGTTCATGAGGTGGTGGGACTAGGAGTACTAATTATGAATACGTCTGTATATATGCTAGGGTATTCTAGTTCATGAGGTGGTGGGACTAGGAAAACTATTTATGAATACATATGTATATATGTTAGGTTATACAGGTTCATGAGGTGGTGGGACTAGGAGTACTATTTATGAATACATCTGTATATATGCTAGGGTATTCTAGTTCATGAGGTGGGACTAGGAGTACTATTTATGAATACATCTGTATATATGCTAGGGTATATTAGTTCATGAGGTGGTGGGACTAGGAGTGCTATTGGGTGCCTGGGCAGGGTGCTATCTAATCCGACCTACAGGTTCAAATCACTTTTTCTAATCAGGGTAGGTAAAAGGATTGCTTTCAAATTGTTTTGTTTTAGTTTTTATATTTTAGATTTGAATATAGCTATTCAAATGTTTTGAAGATTGTGTACAATGTGGACTGTACACTGTACACTGTAAACTGTACAATGTGCACTGTACACTTTACACTGTACACTGTACGCTGTACACCGCACACTGCACAGTACACATCAAAATTGGATCTAGATCGAAATTTTTTTGATTTTCAAACTTAATTGTTGATTTCTGAACAGTATTCAAATAAGATTTGTTTGCTTTTTACCAGGGGCGGATACAGAATTGTTTTTGACTTAAAAGACTCAAAAAGAGTCAAAATTAATGACAAAAGACTAAAAAACTAGATTTTTAACTTTTCACACATTATAGTTTATTTAATCTTAGGTAATCCATAATCTTAGGTAATCCATAATCTTAGGTAATCCATAATCTTAGGTAATTCATAATCTTAGGTAATCCATAATCTTAGTAAATCCACAATATTATTTGAATTAATTGATAATTATTTCAGGAGCAGTAAATATTTAAGTTCTGCCCAGGGAGGAAAATTAGCAATTTCCTTTGGTGAATCATATTTCATTAGGTTTGTCGTCTTCATACAACAATTTTGTTAAAGGGACTGTTTGCGTAATTTCATTCACAACAGTACGTACCCTTTAAACCTTTGACAGATCAACAAGGACGGACCTTTCCTCATTTATTTACAGAAACCCTTGTAATTACTGAACACTTTCTTTGCACGCTGTTTAGAACAGGGTTACCCACAAAGAATGAGACTGTTGAGACGACTCTACGGAATTGATATTTTCTGTTTCCTTATATTCCTGCCTCCCTGCAACTTCAACCTTTTTCTTTTTCAAATCATTAAATAAGGGATAAACTGAAAACATTAAAATAGACAACAAATATTCACATTCAAGTTTTTTAAAACCGTGTTGGACATAAAATAGTTTAGATTTTCCAGGAATAAACGTGACGTCAGCCGCGTTGAATTCACACAGTACGTTAGCGTAAACTTCAGATTTACGTCTGTAAACACAACATTGTAGAGGCCCCTCTTTTAATAAAAGAACGCTTAAAATTCCGCGTACAGTGCCTTTAATCCTTAAATCGGAAATTGTCATTTTTAAAGTTTGTCAAAAATGCGTTTTCATGAAATAACTATTTGAAAAATCTACCTACACCTCATTTAACTTCTAAATTCTGTACAAATATTTTATTAATTTCCTAGATATATTTAGATAAAAAGATCTGATGTAAATCGTTTATATTTAATATTATTGCAGTTTCTTACCAAATATAGCAGATGTTTTTAAGGCGATCTTTAACCTGAGAAATTGAATTTACCGTATTTTGTGTGATTTTAAATATTCAAATATGAAGACGATATAATTGTAGAAAACTGTTAATGCCTATTCTGGTTCCCTTGAAACTCTGGTTCTCCTATCAAACTGTTCTTAAACTCAAATCCTCCACGTGAAAGAATACATTCAAGACACAGCGCATCCAACTGAGCATGACAATGCAAAGACGACAAATATAACTCAAATCCTCCACGTGAAAGAATACATTTAAGACACAGTGCATCCCACTGAACATGATGATGCAAAGACGACAAAATATAAACTCGAATATTCGGAATGTTGGAAGTTTTAGTCTTGTGTACAACTATGTAAAAATACGAAAATTACTTATTAATCTTAAGAAACCCAAAATTTATTAGGAAAAAAACAGATTAAAAAAAGAGATTATCTTTTATTAGGCTTTCTGAAATACTCTTCAATCTTAGATGATTGGGGGCCGAAACTAATGAAATTGAGCTATGTCGCTGAACTACATACTGCCGGTTCAAATTTAAACTACCAATTCCTAGTTTAAGATCGGTGATTCAAATTTGAACCAGCGCAGCGGTAGGAAAAGAAATCTATATAGTAAGTTGCAGCAAATTGATTGATAATTGAAAACCGTGCATTTATAATGTTAAAAGCTTCTTGCGATAAATTTGCCAGTTATCACAATGATAATTAAAGTAATTATTAAAATGATAAATGTTTTTTCATAGAATTATGTATCTATTTTTTATATTTGATGTAAATAAAAAACTTTTCAAATTTAATTTTTCTTCAATAATATATTTTGTAAATATAAACATTTATTTAGTATTTTATACAAGCAGTTCATTGTTTATATTGAAGTAAAGGGAATGTAAGCGTAATTTTAAGTGACCCTCCATGCAAACAGTGTTTAAAATTTTGAAAATAGATTATTTTCGATTGTGGTTTCTCTAATAATAAATTCAATACAATACTGACACAATATTGACGATATAAAGGTTTCTAGGGTACCGTTGTGAATCAGGAATTGTTGTCTTTGCAAGGAGGGTTACTTTAAGTTACGCTGATAGAGCACTCTGCTTAGTAGTGCAAACCCCGAAAATCGGCAATGGTTTATAGAAGACGACATTTATTCTATTACTTAAATTGTAATTTACTATTATTTAACCTAAAAATGATAAAGTATGGTTTAGACGATGTGTTACTGTAAACTATGTACAAGTGAACTCGTATTTATATATTTCATAATTGTTCCTAGTTGGAAATCTGCACTTCAGATATATCCACAAGTTATTTATTTTGGTGGTCAGTCACTTGAACTAACCTCATCGGAACTATCAATATTTTCACTTTTGTTTGTTAACATGTTTTGATTAAGTTTTGCTTTCTAGTTTTTTGTTTTATTTTAAAATTATAATCTTTTACTATTTGCATTTAAATTTTTTATGTCGTAATTTTATGCAAATCTATTGTATACCGTCTGTTTTTTTATACTTATGATTTTCTGCAACTTAAAACTTGTTTCTTTCTTTGTCTATGAAAATGCCATAAAAATGAAGATATTAAAGGCAATAGGCTTAATTTAGCCTTGAAATCGTCATATTTATAAAAAGTTTCAGGTCGTCTTTACAGCCGCATCCTTTGTGGATAATCCTGTAATAAACATTTTGAACTGCAGTTTTGTTGATTCTTAAATAACCGAAATCTAGACCTGATATCTCCGTATACTTTGAAGGTGAAAAAATGGTAGACCACGTTTTGGAAATCCAGAGACTAGCAGTTTTCGATGCTAAATGTTTTATCTTTTTTACGAAATAATCCCGCTTGGAACAAAGACGATATAGAGGTCGTCTTTTAATTCCAATGTTTATTGGGACACCCTGTATTAGGAATAAGATTGATGTATAGTCAAGGTAATAAGGCAAGGAAAGTTAATTGCTGTTGCGTATGCTCTGCGTTCAGTTCTCTCTGGACGGTGTTTGTAAACTAAAAATAGATGTATCAGTGTTCTAGTATCCGAGGAGGATAAAAGCATTTAATTTTAATAGTTTACATTATAGTTTCCTATGACCAGCATATTTCCTTGATTTTTATGTGAAAATGGATCCAGCTTCAGGCTGTTAGTATGTCATACATCTTGTGGTAACTTTACCGCTCAGAGACAGTACACTGCAGTACTAAAAATGCGTACACCTCTGAAATAACTATCTTTACATTGTAATTGTTTGGATGTAGTCAAGTTAGAATTTAAATAGTTCAATGAACATGAAATACAGAAATTGTGCGCACACCACACTCATATCAGACATCTTTTGTAGAGTTTTCTTTGAATTTTAATGTAAATATAATATTATGCAATCAATTTTCCAACGCCACCTATAATATACAGGGTGTCCCAAAAAACATGGGAATTCAGTGACGAATTCGATATCGTCTGTTCAAATAATTCTTTGATTTAGTATAGTGATACCTACTGAGAAAGCTATAATCTGTAAGAGTTTCGTCTGCTATGTTTACATTTTGTTTGTTTATGTTTTGACTGCAACCGGTTGTACTTAGTAAAACAAGAAATTACAGTATACAAACAGAGTAAACTTGTCCGTATTCACTGTTCATCTTGCGGAGACATTATAGACACATCTTTGCAGTTTTTTACCCTTTTCAATAAATAAACTCTAGCAGACATAATACCATATGGCTTTTGAAATTAGGTATTACAATGCTAATTCATAACAAAGACGATATCGAATTCGTCACTGAATTCCCATGTTTTTTGGGACACCCTGTATCACAATTCAATATCACAAAATATCTTCTTAAAAGAACTGTTTGTTTAAAGAGACATGACATGTCTGATTCACAATGATACCATTAACCCTATCCCGCTTTTTTTGTCTTATATAGATTGGGTGGGGGGGGGGGATGTTTTCCACCCCCCTTATGATTTTGAAAATGTCGTCTCCTAAGAAAGATAGATAAAAACCTAATATGACGTCACGCTTGCTTCTATAATAATCAGTGATGTCTATTTGTCTATCTCAGTAGACGACATTTTCTGAACACTGGAGATCATCGAGAGTAAGCAGCCTTATAAAAAACGTTAGTTCAAACTTTTCAAGGCCAGCTTATTAAAAAAAATAGACCTCTAACTTTCTTGGTTAGGGTGCTAAGGTAGGTTTTATGAAAAAGTTTTTAAAAAAGTAGGATAAATGCTAAAATTTTCTTTACTTTTGACAAACGTCAACATCCGTTTTTCAAGGGCTTCTTAAATATATAAATTTCAAAAAGTAGCTTAGTTAATAAAAAAAGTTACTTTTGATTTTTTTTGGATCGTCGAAGACGACATTTAAAACTGTCCTGGCATTGATAGGCGCTCAATTTCTAAGTCAAAACTCAAAAATAGTCAACTTTTAGTCTCAGTGCTTACACTCATTCCGACAAAGGTTCTTACTGCATATTTTCTCAAAGTTTTCTGGTTCTTACTGTATATTTACTCAAAGTTTTCTGGTTCTTACTGTATAATTACTCAAAGTTTTCTGATTCTTAATGTATATTTACTCAAAGTTTTCTGATTCTTACTGTATATTTACTTAAAGTTTTCTAATTCTTACTGTATATTTACTCAAAGTTTTCTTGTTCTTAATGTATATTTACTCAAAGTCTTCTGGTTCATCCTGTATATTTACTCAAAGTTTTCTTGTTCTTAATGTATATTTACTCAAAGTCTTCTGGTTCATCCTGTATATTTACTCAAAGTTTTCTTGTTCTTAATGTATATTTACTCAAAGTCTTCTGGTTCATCCTGTATATTTACTCAAAGTTTTCTTGTTCTTAATGTATATTTACTCAAAGTCTTCTGGTTCATCCTGTATATTTACTCAAAGTTTTCTTGTTCTTAATGTATATTTACTCAAAGTCTTCTGGTTCATCCTGTATATTTACTCAAAGTTTTCTTGTTCTTAATGTATATTTACTCAAAGTCTTCTGGTTCATCCTGTATATTTACTCAAAGTTTTCTTGTTCTTAATGTATATTTACTCAAAGTCTTCTGGTTCATCCTGTATATTTACTCAAAGTTTTCTTGTTCTTAATGTATATTTACTCAAAGTCTTCTGGTTCATCCTGTATATTTACTCAAAGTTTTCTTGTTCTTAATGTATATTTACTCAAAGTCTTCTGGTTCATCCTGTATATTTACTCAAAGTTTTCTTGTTCTTAATGTATATTTACTCAAAGTCTTCTGGTTCATCCTGTATATTTACTCAAAGTTTTCTTGTTCTTAATGTATATTTACTCAAAGTCTTCTGGTTCATCCTGTATATTTACTCAAAGTTTTCTTGTTCTTAATGTATATTTACTCAAAGTCTTCTGGTTCATCCTGTATATTTACTCAAAGTTTTCTTGTTCTTAATGTATATTTACTCAAAGTCTTCTGGTTCATCCTGTATATTTACTCAAAGTTTTCTTGTTCTTAATGTATATTTACTCAAAGTCTTCTGGTTCATCCTGTATATTTACTCAAAGTTTTCTTGTTCTTAATGTATATTTACTCAAAGTCTTCTGGTTCATCCTGTATATTTACTCAAAGTTTTCTTGTTCTTAATGTATATTTACTCAAAGTCTTCTGGTTCATCCTGTATATTTACTCAAAGTTTTCTTGTTCTTAATGTATATTTACANCCTTACTCCTCACTCCTCACTCCTCATTCCTCACTCCTCACTCCTCACTTCAATAGTCCTGGCTAGATTTATATCATCTAATAAAAGTAAATTTTATTTAATGTTTTGAATCTGTGTGAGTACCCCCCTGAGACCCTGGGGAATCTATTTTACCAGTCACAGTCTTGACCAAGACATAATATTAAAGGAAGTGTTTCCGAATTATTTTTCAAGAAAGAAGTTTCACTTTTGGGTCAAGCATGAGAGGCACAAAATTTTTTTTTTAATTTGACTTGTACAGTTCACAGTACCTTGTATATCTCCTTCTTTTTGGCCTCAAGCTGAACTCTTAAACGTACAAAGTTAGAACGGAGGTAAGTTAAGTAGAAGTGGTTCAACTGATTGGGTAGTTAAGTAGAAGTGGTTCACTGATAAATACGTTAAGTAGAAGTGGTTCAACTGATTGGTAAGTTGAGTTTATTATTATTATTACATTTTGTTGAATGCAAACATACAATGAAAAAGCATCTAGCACTCCCTTGTATATATTTTACTGTAAATAGATGACACTCTCTCAGCTAGAATGAACCTGACAAAATAATGTTCAAATAAATTCATTTTATTTTAGAAACAGAAGCAAAACCCAGGGGAGCCAAGTCCACAGAATTTATGCTTCAAATATTTCTTTTTTCCTAATTTCACGCAAATACTACTAGAGCTAAGTTTGCCCAGGCTATCTATATTCTATATATATAAAGTAGTAATCTCTGTTTGTGCTTTTGTATGTCAGATAATAACTCGTTAACCCATTGACCGATTTGCTTCAAATTTTAATTAGGAACTCTTAACTAGGTTTAAAAGTTCTATGTTTATGGGGTTGACTTTATAATAGAGAAAGTTTGGTTTGCAGGCAAAGCTGGGGTCCCAATAAAATGGAATAAAAATCTTCATCTGTCATTTGATATGCATATGGGTGTAATAATAAATGGGTGGGGGGCCTTGTGCACAGTTTCCAATTCCCTTCCTTTAAATATTCAGAATTGAGAACATCTACACAGTTTGTTTTTAATCTTTGTGAAGAAACAATCTTAAGGAATAATAATTGTCTTAAAACATTTTTTTAACAGTGAATATTTGCAAATTATCTTTTTTCCATCTCATAGTCTGAATTCGTTTCCCTTATGTCCATTTGACAGCCCAAATTTTTATTTTAAAAAATCTTTTTTTGTGATTTTTTACATTATCTAATTTTTTTATCGATTTTGATGATTATTGTATTGTTAGAACTGACGAGGGTCAACCCAGACCGAAATATATTTTCAATAAATGTGGAACTAACATCTACTTTTTTACTCTACAGAGGTTTGGTCCATCACCATCACCAAATTTTTAAAAAATTGAGAACTTTTGTGTTCTAATTCTCAGGATTAAGTATTGATCTCAATGTTATGAGGATCGACGATTTAATCTAATTTCTTCTTGAAATTCAGTGCTGGTCACATCATGGACATCATGCAAGCATGGATAAAGTTAATAAAGGAATCAAGCATTTTCCCTCAAATTTAAAATTGCCCACTTTGGATATCGAGATCAAGGTTCAAAATTAACTAGATTTCCGACCTCTGAGGGAAAATAATATTCTGAAATATAATGATAAACCTGTGTAGTGTGTAGCTTGCATTGATGAAGCTAACAAGAGGCCAAAAATTCTGGAAACATTTTC